TGAACCCTTTAGATATCACTTTGACCTCCGCAAATAAATAGTTAAACTCGCTCGCAGTGAAGGAACTTACTAATCTTGCAGAGAGCAACGCTGAGCCAGCAGCCCATTTCTAGCTAATGGACTACTATATTAAAATTTAGCAGTCGTTGACTACATTTTGCTTCGCACAGTCGTGTTGACAATTCGCTCGGAAGAAGGCAATTGACAGCATTAGAACCGAATACACCTCAGTCTGCCTTCTACGCGATGCTATTTTACTGGTTCTTCCCAAATCCGAAAAAGTAGGAAACTAATTTATCATAAGCGAAAATTTTGGTGGCTTGTGCCTAGTCTAAATACCTCTCCACGTAACCCTAGGTAGGCGCAAAGGCACAATATTTGATAAAAATCTGGCCGAAACCGATAATTAAGGGATTATTGAAGGTCTAAAATCAAAAGGTGTAGTTGACGTGTATAAGTTTTCAAAGATTATAGGTAAAAACATTCCAACAGGGCGAATTGTCTTAACATTTAACTAATGTAAAGTTCCTACCGCCAATGATATAGCACAGTACTCTATTAGAGTTAGTATTTCCCCATCCCCATGCGCTGCCAGTAATGCGAACTTTTTGGTCACACCATACAAAATATCCAAACAATAAAATCTGCGATAACTATCATGCATCAGCGCCTTGCCAGCATATAAAGTGCGCCGATGGCTATGGACCTCACCCCGCTTCGGCTCAAGAATACCTTAAATACCTACAACAAAAAGAAATTCTGAACATAATATCCAACAACCATTATTACTCAATTAGAACTCCACAACTACAAATAATATAAATAACAAAAACAAGACTACTACACAAAACATTCCCTTCAAGTCAATTACTGCTATCAACTACAATTTCGAATCCCAATGTTTAAACTCGCACACCCTCATGCCGTCTTCAGATCATGATACAACAAACTCCCACTCTCTATTGATCCGAAATTCGAACTGCCAACATTTAACAAACGCCACCGATACAAGTTCTCTCTCTAACTTCATAATACAACCAAAGTTTATCAGCCGATAAAATTATTCAAACCACCACTAGCACTACATATTCTCCCCCATATCTCTCATTTGAACAAAATTTGAAATCAAAATCCCGTAAATCTTTATACTACTCTCAACTAACTTCTCTCTCACCCGCTACACAATATCCAACAGCTTCTCAATACGATCACCCAAGACATCTTGATAAATCAACACAACAACATATGCAAACAGACGACACAAAAATCCCTTTAGCACCAATGTAAACAGACGATACAGATGCAGACGATACCCAGAAAAAACGAAGTAACGCATTCACTAACACATAAGCAGAATCACCAGCTGACATCCTTCACTAGCGCAACAAATTTTCTATTTTCTATTATGTCAGAAGAAGAAAGTGATATGTATATCATTATCGAAAATATGTTCACTTAATATATCGCATGCGTTCCCACTCATTTCTGGGCTGTAATATTGCCATTATGAAAAAGTTATCAAGTACTTAGCAGATGGCATTACCAGGCTAGGATTTTTGTGCGTGAATTTCCTTATACGGCCGATAAATAAAATTTTTAACAATGTAAATTTCTTTGCTTAAAATTAAAATGCGCCAATGAAATTTTATTTCTGTTTAAGTTTCGTCCAACAAATTTTATTAGAATAAACTCTTCACTTCCCATATTAAATAATATAATGCGAAAAAATTAAGACAATGCACAACCTTTTTCAGCTTATTTTCTTTTCTGTAATGTATTCCTTTGCCCCAGTAAGTGTTTATTCTAAACAAAAGAGTAAGTATATATATGAATGTTATCTTAGAAAAACGCTAAACTAGAATATTAGATAAATTGGGAGGTGTATGTATAAGAGGGAAGTTCAGTTATAAAAATAACAAATGTGGTGACTTTTATTTAGCTAATATAATGATTTTATTTATGAATATTGCTCAAATTTTATTCATATTGTGGCGAAAACGCCAAATACGAATGACAGATGAAATGAAACTTGAAGAACTGTGTATTATCAATATATGGCGTATATAAGAGAGCGTCAAACACAACATTCGTCAACCACGAAATGAACTCTGTAGTAAAGACATCGGTATAGAGTACAGCGGAATTAGCTGTGTGAAATATTATAAGTCGTGTGTAGTAAAGCAAGTTCTGATATATGAGTAATAAATAAACGTGGACTGGGACTTCTATTTAACAATCCAGTGATCGATGATTTGATAACATGGTTATGAAACCAAAAATTATTTCTTATTATTAAAAGCGCTTTCATGTTAAGCATCTTTACTTGAAAAAAAATATAAATTTGTTATTTTCCGTCGACAACTTTTAAGTACACCTCCGGTCACTGAAAAAAATTACATCACTATTGTTGTTGTGGTTTGAAGACATAAGTAAGCGGCCAAAAAGATTTTAAAAAGCAATATTTTCAACCCAAAAACTATTAAAAGGTAAGTTTTATTATTATAAGATAAAAAATATTCATATTCTTTTCTAACTCTTCTTTTTTTTTATATTCTTATAGATATATTTCAATCGGAAGGACGCGGGACTTTTGAAACAAATTTACGGAAATGTGTGGAGCTCAGCCATAATAGGTGGCGCCAGTGAAGTTGCTTACATCCAAAAATAAAAATATAGTATTTTATAGCTTTACATCTGCGTAAATATTGTTTTGATTGAATTGTCTTTAACATTATATAGTTAATTTATAATTAACTTGTAAAATGCAACGGTAATAAAAATAAAAAATACTTTCCTTATGAATGTTCAGGTCGGCCAAATGAAGTTGATGATGACCAAATCAAAGCATTAATCGAATTGGATCGTCATGTAACTGAGCTTGAGATAGGAGAGAAGTTAAATATACCAAAATCAACCGTTCATTATCACATAAAAGGTCTTGGACTGGTGAAAAAGCTTGATATTTGGGTACCACATGTATTGAAAGAAATTCATTTAACACAGCGAATCAACGCTTGTTATATGCACCTTAAAGGCAATGAATTCGATCCGTTTTTAAAACGAATCATAACTGGAGATGAAAACTGGATTGTTTACAACAACCAGCTCAAACCACTTCAAAGGCTGATATCCACCAAAAGAAGGTTTTGCTGTCTGTTTGGTGGGATTGGAAGGGTGTCGTATATTTGAGCTGCTTCCAAGGAACCAAACGGTTAATTCGGATGTTTACTGTCAACAATTGGAAAAATTTAATACAGCCATCAAGGAGAAGCGACTAGAATTGGTCAATCGTAAAGGTGTCATATTCCACCAGGACAACGCTAGACCGCACACATCTTTGGTCACTCGCCAAAAACTGAGTGAGCTTGGCATATAGCCCTGACCTTGCACCATCAGACTACCATTTATTTCGATCTCTGCAGAACTCCTTAAATGGTAAAACTTTCGGCAATGATGAGGCTATAAAATCGCACTTGGTTCAGTTTTTTGCAGATAAAGGCCAGAAGTTCTATGAGCGTGGAATACTAAATTTGCCAGGAAGATGGCAAAAGGTTATCGAACAAAATGGCAATTATATATTTGATTAAAGTTCATTCTAAGTTTTTTTAAAAATGCATTTACTTTCTTTTGAAAAATCCGCAATTACTCTTTGGGCAACCCAATATAATAAAATGTGAAATGTAAAGAGACATATTTAAATTAATATATTTTTTTTATAAAAATACAATTTGAAAATCAAACGATTTTTTAATTCAATATTTATGCCTTATGACCACTGCATAAATATAACAACTACATATTATGTTATTTAGCCAATAGCAGAATCGTATATGGCGTTCGTTTCCGTAAATGATGTATCTTGTTACATATCGCATAATAATAACGGATTAAATATATAAGAACGTAATAGCAAAACCATATGCAGAAGACAGAGATCTCTGCTTAAACGTATAGAAAAGTATCCGTGAGTTTTTGTCCCTCGGTCTGAATAAATTCAAGGAAAGTTTTTCGATTTCTCACGCATAGTTTTTGTAGGACTACGGATGATTTAACGGATTATTATAGCTATAAGCAGTTTTCATATCATCATATGCAAGTAAACCTCATAAAAATTTAAATATGAACTGCCGCAATAATAGCCAATTTGAAATATCCTACCATGGCTTCAGATTTCACACAGATAACTTCACACTTAAACACCCACAGTCCTCATCCGTGACTTTAATAGTTGCAGGGGCTTAATACAAGAATACCATACTTAGTTAACACGTATCTACAATATATTAAATAACTCTCTGTTTCCCACAACTCTCAGTCTTACCTCTTGGTATACTTTAGAGGATCTAAGCAATAGTGACCACTATCCTATAATAAGTACAAAAACAAATACATACACAACTACCCATCTTACATTCCACACAGCCATAACACCCGACTGTAATAGAATATGTGTATGTACAAACACGAGCATTTTCTGCGGGGCAACCGTCAGTAACGGCATCGGCAAGCGGTGACAACTTTTCATTTCCTTTCAAAAGATACTAATGATGCAGAGCACTATAATATAAGCAAAGAAGCAGCTAAAAAAACCACAGGAACTGCCGCAAACCTATAACAACTACACTACGTAAACCTTCAAGAAACGTACCTTGGTGGACTCCAAAGCTTAACATGGAAGATAGAAAAATGTCATACGTCGCATTACCAATCGAAAATAAATGCAAAAACGAAACGGAATCTCGACTTGCTTTCACTGTTTTTCTTAGGTTTTGTAGCAGTGACCATTCAATAAATCTGTTGGCCACGCCAAAGAATAGTTTGGACAGCACTGTCTTAGGGTATAGGTATCAAGGTAAAGACCAATCCATAGGATGCTATTAACAACATACTGTATTTAAATTAAAAAAAATTTGTTTAATTGAATCCTTATATGAAAGTTAATGTAGCATTGCAAAACTGTAATAATATTTCTTTTATAAATATTTATCATTTGTTTGCAGGTTTCTTCGATAAATAGAGTTTTGCGAAATTTGGCCTCTCAAAAAGAGCAGCAGGCCCAACAACAAAACGAATCAGTCTACGAAAAGTTACGTATGTTCAATGGACAATCTAGCGGCTGGGCCTGGTATCCCGGTAATGCAACATCTGCCCACCTGGCCTTGGCACCCACTCCAACAGCAACAAATTTATCAAGTCAACTAGTTAGAGATGATTTACATAAACGAGGTGAGCTTGAAACTGACATAGTTTTTTTTTTTTTTAATATTTGATATTTATTCATTTGAATCACAAATTGGTCTCATAAAAATCAGATAATAAAATGTCACTTTTGTCATTAAAATTTATGTGCTTTATGTAGTAATTTAGATTTCGATGAAAATCTGTTAAATTTAAGAACGACCTGAATTATTTTTACTGTCTGAATGTACGGATACTTTAGGTAATTACTGTTCAATTGCTATCCAATAGCTGTACACCGAATTTTTTTATATTTACCGAATTGAAATCTCACGTCTCTCACGTTTATTTTCGTTCCTTTCTTTCTTTGTTCTTCGCCAATTGGAAATACTTACCAAGTATTGTCTGGTCCTTCTTCACCTGGTCTTTCCAACGGAGTGGTGCTTCCACCGGCCGGTATTGCATCGAAAACTTTCAAAGCCATATTATTCTTATCCATCCTGAGCAGATGACGGTGCCAGCTCTTGATTCGTAGAACTATATCAATGTCGTCGTATGTCATGTACTACTCATAATTCCATAGACTACAGTATTCGCCAATGTCGACGCCCAGAGGACCATAAAACAAACTTTTCTGTCGAAAACTCCGACCGTTGACCCATTAGATGATGCCATCGTCCATGCACCCGCGCCATAAAGCAGAAAGAGAATGGTGACTTACAAAGTTTGATTTTGGTTCGTTCCTTTGTTGACGGTCTCTGTTGTTGTTTAAAAATCTCGTTCGGTAGGACATGGGCATCGGATCCAGCTTTTTGAACTTTACTCAAAGTAGCACCTGCTGAAAAGAGTGACTCTGAGGTGTATTTCAAGCTTGGCATGAATGTTGGTGTTAATACTGGTTCCAAGATTGACTTAACTATCTACGATTTCAATGTTATGACCGTCAATATTGACGTGAGAGCCAATTCGGGAGTGCGATGGCTGTTTGTTTTAAAAAGATTTTTTACCTTGTCCCCGTATACTATCAGGCCAATACATTTCGCTTCCTTTTCCAGTCTGGAGAAAGCAGAACTCATGCCGTAGTTGTTGACGCCAATGATGTCAATATCATCAGCGTACTAGCAGCTGTACCCATTTATAGAAGATTGTACCTCATCTATTTAGCTCGTATTATTTTATTCAGGTCCTTCCCAACTGGTTATTAATATATAAATTTTTTGATATATTATGGTCACCATCATTGGGACTTATAGTTTCCTAACACTAGTTTTTTGGTCCATCCTCGAAGACCCGACTTAAGACGCCTGTCGAAATATTATTTGCGGTCTATACTTTTTTGCTAAGTATTGACGTTAGAATTCCTCTTGTTGCTGCACAATCTGCAGCTTTAAATCTATTTGCGGGAAAACGTTGATCACAATTGAGTATGATGTGTTCGTCTTATAAAATTTGGATTTCACGAGACCTTTATTATGGTAGGCATCGGTATGGTTCGTTACTGGAGTCGCCCGGCACACAATAAAAATGAGACCACTTATTGCAAAATTACATTGCACCATTCGGTTTATGTTATTTGATACGTATTTATTTAAAGTAAATTCTGCTTCGGCACTATTTAGCTTAGATCAGAAGCACGATATTAATGTTTAAAAAATCCGACTTACAAATATTTGATGCCACGCTAAAGTCTTGATCATTGTGGATCCTATGAATGCTCCGAGCCTAATGGATGTTATTGGATGTCGACATTGCCCACACTTCTACACCATCTAGGAGGAGGGGCATGATGAGGGACTTGTAAGGCTTCGCCTTGGCTCGTTCGTTTGCTGACTGACTCTGTGGTTGTTTACATATTCTTCTTGTAGGCTATTGACACCAGTTTCGAGCAATCGCTAATTAAACATCGAGTTGGGTAAAAGAGCATCGTTTCCAGTATCATCGATTAGGATTTAGTATGTACGGGGCATCTTTCATCAGATTATTATCTCACATCCCACATGAATATGATCGGATCTGGAAACCTTCTCAAACAGTTTTCGAGCATTATCCTTGTCGACCAGCTTCTCAAACTCTTTACATTCACGCATTGCGGCAACATTGCGAGAAAGGTATTATGTTTTCTTTTCACTGCAGTTAGACATTTCAAATCTTTTTCTAGCACTGTCGAAAGCCCATTATTTCCGTAGCGGTGGTTTGTAGGGAGTTTGAGATTCCGTTCCACAGTTCCCTTATATCAAATTGCTGATGAGTGCTCAAGTCGGGTAGAAATCCGTTCAGCTGAATGTTGAGATTGCAGCTTTTTGACGTCGAACCTTCCTAATGTTTGTTGACGGAGGTAGTCTGCTGCACATTGGCTGGTGCGTATCCTTGCTGCCACAATATAGTGATCCGAGATGGTGTCGTCCGTCTATCACAACGGTCGGTCCGTCTATCACAATGATCGGTGGTTTTGAGTTTTTCGATCCGATGACAGCCAAGTAATTTGATTAATTTTCTTGGGCTTGATTCTAGTACTAGAGATAACCATACATCGGACCCCGGCGAAGTTGAACAGCATAAACCTATTTGATGTTGTTTCATGGTGAAGGCTGCATTCGTGATAGGTAAGAGCTCAAGAGTACGCTTCAGTAGTTCACAAAATGCCTTCTTGGTGAAACTGTGTTGAAAAAATTCCTTTTCGATACTGAGGCGAGCTGCTACAAAACCGATTTGAAATTTGTGCTCATTATATGGCGTTGAAATAAATGTCACAAGGCGGTTTCTTGAACTTGAAGTGGTATATTTACTTTGGTCCGAACCCATCATACTTGTGCTACAGTATTTTTAGGTATTTTATTTTAGGTCATAATTCTGACAAGTATGCTCTTAGAACACCAAATTTGAAATGTGACAATATTGGTTCTGAAAATCGTGAAGGCCAGACGAAATAAAATATCCGAAGCGAAAATCTCTTTAGGGTTATAAAACGCAGATTATATTTATGTGTATATACATACGAGTATATAAAGGTATGCTAAATTTAGGAGTACAAATGTTAGATAGAAAGGAGTTGCAATTTATTAAATGTCAAAGCATACCTCTACTAGGATTACTTCAAGCATAAATACTCTATTCCGATTGACGTTGATCAATCCTCAATGACATATGTAAATATGTTCTGCTCAATGTGTATGGGAAGATATATGGTGTATGGAAATAACAGTTGTTAATATTTTGTCCGCGGTGGCCGAGTGGTTAGCATTGTGTACTGCCATTCGGAAGGCTCGGGTTAAAATCCCTGTGCGACCAATATCCAAAAGTTATAGAAAATTAATTTAATTAACGCGCCTCTTGAAAGGGAAAGTCAATTCTTCCGAGTGTATTTCTGACATGAAATAAAGCTCCTTATAAAAAACCCATTAGCCGTTCGGAGGCAGCTTAGTATAAACTATAGGAAAAACATCAAGACGCAAGACTACAAATTAGAGGAGGAGTTCTCCTGAAACTCGCTCAGAGGTAACAAAGGGCCAATTGCAATAATTCCATTAAAAGTATTAAACATTTTTCAGAAAAAGATGGAAGAATTTTATTACACTTTGACTCATTTTAGCAAGAAATTTTAATATAAAATTTCTGTCAAATAGTAGCCACCTCTTGAAAGAATTCCCATAAAATAAGTTAAATATATAAATGAGTCTAACACAAAGTATGAAACAACAATCGATATATTCTCAATATATATTTAAAAACATACATTTCTTAGTTTCTTTCATTATAAGCTTATTGTTTTCGTTTTACAATCTAATGGAGTATTTACTGCCGTAACTGAAAATGAACAGAATGAATAAAAGTAAAATTCAAATAAAAAATATTGTGTAATATGTGATACATTATGCAACATATATACATATACATCATCGTAAAAGAAAATTAACGGAATTAAATCATTTTGACTGTTATAACACTAACACATTTAACCAACAAACAATCGCCTTTCACTCACCATATTGGTTTTTTTGCAATACCATTATTTCTAAAACACATACAGTGTCTCCAGTTTTTCTTAGTCTCACTCACCACTACGAATGGCTACAGGAATAGGCATACAAGCATTTAGTTTGTCAAGACAAACTCACCTCTATGGTCTTATAGTTTTATGTGATCACTTCTGCGTCTATACTTCTGTTTGTTTACTTCCCTTCTCCGCCCATCACATCATGATTCCTACTGGGCAGCACTCTATTTAGGTTTGAAGCATTAATATACACATTGCTCGTGCCCAGATGTGCAAAATATAATTGTTCGACTACATACATTGTGTGTCTTTTGGGAACCGTTAATAGAATGATTTATGTTATATGTGTATTATGTTTATGTCCATATTTACATCCGTGAAAAATTGTTTAAATGGAAAAGTATTATGTTTTTCATTAATCTTGCTAAATACTAAATAGCTTTGATTGTCTATTATCTCAGTTATGATCTATGGTCAACTCTAGCCAGCTTTTGTCCACAAGGCATAGAGCCGTTGTATAAAGCGCAACTGGGAGGAACTAGCACTTAAGGTACACAAAGTATTTCGAAGAATATTTGAACGGCTAGGAAGGGAAAAAACCTAATTATTACACTTTACCCAAATAAAAATTGGTTGTTGATGGTTCGTTTACCCTCTAAGGGGCACGTTAATCAATATAAGTGACCTGGGTAGTTTAACGGAGGGTCCAGGAAACGTGTTGTTTCCCCGGGATAGGGCCAGAGGAAGAAGGGGGCTAGATGCTTCGGTTTCAGGGGGTATGTAAAGAGGGGATTCTCGTCATGCGGAGACTTTCTACGTGCAGCACATGCGTTGGGTATGTTGGGGTCGAGTGTGTATAGGTAGGAGCTTAAACTGCTACAGTAGTCTGACCCCAGTTGCGCTAGCGTCACGAGGGTCGCTCCAGGCAGTCCGAGGTCTTCGTTTGCTATGGGTGGTGCTTTCACTCTGAGGATGCCTTTCACGGGATGGGAGTCTTTGAAGGTGTTGACTGACTCTTGGTGAATGGCGTTCAGTGCTTTTCTGTATGATGGAT